CTCACAGGGGGACTTACTTAATCTGGCTTTCCGTGCCTTTAATAATAGAGACAAAAATTAGCTATACATAGGTGCCAGCTTTTAGCTGCAGCACTCATGGCTCCCATCACAGCAGTACCTTGTTAAGGTAATTCTAAGCCTAAACAAAATGATGCCACCCAAGGCCCTCCTGGACCATGTTTCAAGTGTGATGAAGAAGAACACTGGGCCCAAGCCTGCCCCAACCTGCAGCTACCACTGGGACCTGGTCCCATCTACAAGCTCAAGGGTCACTGGAAATGCAACTACTCTGTCTGCCAGAGAACATTTAAGTCATCCAATTCCCTACCCTCCCACGAGAACTCACTGCAGCCAGATCCATCAATACTTGACCTGCATGGTGTTGCCATTGAAGAGGAATAACAGGGCTTGGGGACCATACCCCCCATCAAGGTATCTTTGTCAGAGCCCTGAGTCTTGCTGGACATATCAGGTAGGACACTCTTTTCTTGTTGACACAAGGGCCACATGCAAAATTCTTCTGAATTTTCACATCACTATATTAGATCCACAGTCTTCATAGTTGGTGTTGATGGCTGACCCACATGACCCCTTCAGACAGGGCCAACTCTAGACATTGTTTTTCACTCATAATTTCCTTGTGATCCCAACCTGTTCCACACCTCTCATGGAGAGAGATCTTCTCCAAAAACTCCACTTCTCTTTCACTTCTCTTCCCCCAGTGCTTGTCCAAGGTGCCCCACCTCAATGCACGGTCAGCTCCTTCGTCCCTCTTCCCTCTTCTCTTATGACCACATACTCTGGGACACTTCCAGTCCTACTCGTACCATCCACACTATCCCTGCACTAGTTTGCCTTTGGGAATCCCTCAGCCTTCCTCTGTGTTCCCTAACATTCAATAGTTCCCAAATACCAAGGGGGAATACAGGAAAATGGGATTTTCAAGGCCCACCTCACCAAATTTATCCTGGAGCTTCACCTGCCTTGGCCTCAGCTCCTTCCTTTGATTCTAACTAGATTCAGGGCACTTGCTAGGGCACCCACATTCCTAAGTCCATTTGAGCTCATGGAGAGATGGGAGACCTTTTATGCTTCACAACTTCCCCACACCTTATAGCCTTCCTCCCATAGCTGTCTATATTCCTGTTCTATCCTTCCTCTGGTACCTGCTACAACAACATGTGGATGCTTGCTTCCCACAACCAGTAGATGTCACCCAGTTGGCACCATCTATATTTCCTGCAGATTTAATGTGTCTTAAATCATCTAAACCTACAGGATTAGATTCTACATAAACAGGCCCCCACCTGGTAATCCTTTCAACAACAACAGTGGTAAAAGTCACCAGCCTGCCCTCATGGTTCCACACCACGCAAGCCAAGCAGTACCCAGAAAAATCCTCTCCACTCTGCAACTCCACTCATCCTGATCCTGAGCATTTTTCACCTGAGTGGTCTACACAACTCTTGTCACTTACATGTCTCACACCTAATGTGTGTTGCTTTTCCATCTGGTTTCTGATCCCCTAACTTCTACTAGTCCTTTCCTTCACTGCTGGACTCTGGAACTTTTGCCCAGAGACTTTCAGGTGCTACATAAGATTTCTTTAATGTTAGATGCAAGCCTTCACTAATGATAATTTCACAAACCATTTTCCTGTCAACCTCCTTGCCCCTAGGACAACATCCCTGCTCAGCAGTGTTATGGTGTATGTGTATTTGTGCCCCAAAGCCTCACTGAGGCACAGTTCTACAGTTTGTGATTAATTCATGATCCAGGGCTGGCATTATGGGTCTGAGTACTGCTGGGATTATAGGTGTGAGTGCTGTACCTAGCCTGGGGTAGAGAGCCTGAATGTAACATAAGGGAGGGAGGGAGAGAAAGAGAGAGAGAGAGAGAGAGAGAGAGAGAGAGAGAGAGAGAGAGAGAGACAGACAGAGACAGACAGAGAGACAGACAGAGAGACAGACAGAGAGAGA